CGCTCTCAAGAGGAGAGCGCGAGAGCTGTGGGGGTCCCGCCACAGCGCGTCACGTGCTCAGTTGCCAGCGGGCCCTCGGAGTGTGAGGTCTCCCCTTAATCGCTGGCAACATGGCAACGTGGGGCGGAAGGTGATAGGAAGGGCGGGTGAGGAGGAGGTGAATTTGGAAATATGCGAACGATTGAGATGATGATGGTGGTGATGACGAGGCTGAGGATGATGATGACGATGTTGGCGATGATAATAATGATAATCATGCTGATGATGCTGGTGATGATGGCGAAGCTGATGATTACGATGCTGATGATCATGGGGATGATGATTATGCTGATTAGGGTGATGGCGATGATGCTGCTGCTGATGCTGATGATGATTTGTGATGGTGATATTGATAGTTATATTCGCGATGGTCATGATGATGCTGATCTTGCTGATGATGATGATCGTGATGATGCTGGTGAAGATGATGATGAGGAGGAAAAGGAGCAGGAGGATGCTGATGGTGACTGTGATGATGATGCTGATGATGATGATGATGATGATGATGGCGGTGATGATGATGGTGATGATGCTTATGATGATGACGACGAAGAGGACGAGGACGAGTACCACGATGACGAGGTTGCCGAAGGCGACGATGATGATGTTGATGATGATGATGATGGTGTTGATGATGATGCTGCTGGTGATGATGATGCTGCTGTTGTTGATGACGGTGATGATGCTGATGTTGATGGTGATGTTGATCACGATGGTGATGTTGATGATGATGATGATGATGATGATGATGATGATGATGATGATGATGATGGTGATGATGCTGATAATGATGATGCTGCTGATGATGATTATGCTGATGATGGTCATCATGCGGGGGGATGGTGATGATGAGGAGGAGGAGGAGGAGGAGGAGGAGGAGCATGAGGACGAGAATGAGCATGGGCATGACCACGATGCTTGGGAGGATGAAGTATATCCGGTAAAGCCTTTCGCTGGAACAATGCAAGAATGCACGCGCCACATTCATGCGAATGTGGATTTTTCAAGGTGCCAACGCAGGCAGGCTGTTCACGGCAGGGCGAGGTAGGACGAAGGTGATACGCGTTGCACAGCGCACGGGGTCCTACAGATACGTCGGGAAAAGCAGCGGGGCACGGCACCCCGCGTGAAGCGGCTCTGAAAAGACGGGCGTGCCCTGACCGCGCGGGCCGGAAAACCGCGCTCAAAATATCCACCAATGAGTCGCGAAACTTGCTCCGGTGGATTGGTGTATATATGTTGGCCAACTGCTGCAGGAAAAACACACCAGAAAAACATACACCAATCGAAAACGTATTGGAACAGATCCGCCATACCCACAAAAACGCAAGAATCGACAGAGACTTTCGCCTGGAGGAGGGGGAGCAGGACTGCGGGCACCAATGCTGATACGAGCGGGGAAACATCTTGCGAGAATCGGAGAAGAGGGGGGGGCGACGACAGCGTCGCAGAAACATTCTGCACCAACGTCGCGACAGTGGAACACCACACCACACCGCACACCTGGGCTGCAATTCGGCTCCCACTGTAAGCTCCCAAAAATCACAATGGTCAGCCGAATGCATCACCTGATATGTTGCGCGCTCCGAATGCTGGTGATGATGACGATGACGAGGAGGATCATTACCAAGCGCGCTATAGGCTTAAAGGGTACCTAAACCCATCTTTAAGGATGAGGCGGCCATCAGCGAAATACTGGAGATTGTGCGACTGCGAGAGGAGCAGGAGGAGGAGGAGGAGGAGCGGGGACGGGAGTACAGGAGGAGCTGGAGGATGTTGGAGAGGGAGGGGGGGGGGGTGGGAAAGAGGATGAGGAAGAGAGGGGGGTGAGGGACCAGCATTCAGGAGGAGGAAGAGTAGGGGTGGGAGGAGCGCGTGCAGAGAGAGGAGGCGGAGGACAAGTGACAAGAATACGAATACTCAGAAGAAGAAGAAGAAGAAGCATGAGACGAATTAGTATCAGCATTGCAAGAATAGCTCATTTAATCAGAAGAATAATAATCATTAGGCGACTACGAGGAATTAGAGTAGAGGATTCGAAAGACGAGCATGAAGACCATTAGGACGAGGAGAACGACGACGAAGTATCAGTGTGAGAAGGGAGGGATAAGGATCACCTTTCCGTGTCTCCCCCTCGCCCCCCTCGCCTGCCTCTCCCTCCCCCTCCTCCCCCCCCATCCTCCCTATCCCTTTCCTCCTCCTCCTCCACGTACGACCCCTCTTCTTCCGCTCTGCCCTCAAGGGGCGCAGGCGATAACCTCCACGGGCGTTCCGATCCCGATTCCGATCTCCCACCCCCAAATCTCCGATGTTGTGATTGTTTCAATCCTTGGCCCGCTCTCGACCCCTTCCCAGGGGAATTCCTTTTCTTCATGGAACATGTCTTGAATGCCCTGGAGACCGAAATCGCGCCCAACGGAGTCACCCCGGGAGGAGATGCACCCCCACCCAAGCGCGCACCCGAACTGGGCCCAACCCAGGACCAGCCAGGACAGTCGCCAGAGGCAGGGAGTGCTTCGGGGAGGGCCAGAATGGAGGCCGGAGGGTCTTCTCTCCAGGTCTCTGATGCTTCCTCGAGGTCCTGCGCCAGGGGCACCGCCTGGGGGTATCCTGGCTCTCCACGGCCTGGGCCGCGGCCTCGCGGGAGGGTGGCTCCGGGAGCCCGGGAGGCCCCGCGCGTTCCAGAGAGCTGCGCGGCCGTCTCGAGTCCGACGGCAGTGGCCGAGGACGCGGAGGAGTTGGCTCAGAACTTGGCCCTGGCAATAGATGCATTTGAGATGCTGTTGCCAGGGCGAAAACGACTCTGTTGCATCTGGAGTCCCGTCGCGCCCCAGGCTGCAGAATGGATTTCTACCGCCTGGGTCGCGACGGGGCTCTGGAGGAATGGCATTCGGACAAGGAGCCCGCACCGTAGGTGGCTGAGGGACCGCTGTCCCTCGATCACAGCGCCCTCAGGCCCCCATGTGAAGGACACCCGTGGCAGGTCCATGTTTCGCACCACCCCCGCAACACTCGCGGATTTGTGGTGGCGCATCACATACGCGGCAGTCAGGCTCTTAGAAGTTCCTGACCCTAAGCGGACCCTGTACCAGCCCCACGCGTGCAGGCAGGGCGGCAATCGCCCGCCTTGTCAAGGATGATAGCCCGATGTGCCCAGTGGGTTGTGAGCCGTCCACTTCCCCGAGGGGCCCCTTAAACGTATGGACGACACCGCCCCCGATGTCTTGCCCAGGAGGAGGAGGAGGAGGAGGAGGAGGAGGAGGAGGAGGAGGAGGAGGAGGAGGAGGAGTTGGAGGAGAAGCAGGAGCAGGAGGAGTTGGAGGAGGAGGAGGAGCAGTAGCATGAGGAGGAGGAAGAAGAGGACGAGGGTGACGAGGAGGACAGAGGAGGAGTTGGGGGAGTCGGAGAAGCAGGGAGCAGGATGAGGCTGGTGGCTGGAGGAGGACAGGGGAAGAAGGAGGAGGAGGAGGAGGATCATGAGGAGGAGGAGGAGAGAGTTGGACAGACGAGGGGGGATGCAGTAGGTTTGTTTGGATTGCAAACGAAGCATGGAGCATGTCGACGAGAGGTCCCACTGCAACAAGCAGACCTTCGCCATCCCAGTGACGCCTGCCCCCTGCTCTGCCTTCTCCCCCTCGTCCCGCGTCGCCTCGTCAGTGGCCACGGGGCCGCTGCGCCAGCGCAGAGGTGGAGCGCCCCGCGTGTGGAGACGCAGCGCCCCTTCACGGCTACCACAGGCCTGTTGGACTGACCTTTGTCAAGGGAGGAGAAACCACCCGGACCCGATAAGTGGCGTATGCTAAGAGGCCTTGGGCGTTTGCTAAACAGCCTTGCCCTGTTCGATTCCTTCTTTGGGTGCGTTTCCTAAACGGCCTCGCTTCTCGGGGTGGTTCTTGTGGGGGGTGGATTTTCTGCCTTCTATTTTCGTGCTGTCCCACAGCGAGCCGGATCATTTGCATTTGCGGTTGAGCTCGGTTTCGCGCTGGCTCACGCAGCGCGTGGTTGCGCTCGCATCTGAGAGCGCGAGGATTGGGCCTAGACTCGGCGCCCTTTCCGCCCCAGGACCGGTCCCGAAGCCCAGTCTCAATCCCAAGTCGCCTGGTTTGAATGAGTTCGAATCGTATGGAATTTTGTCAGACAAGTTTGAAGAGGAGTCCAAACCAATCACATTGTTTACTAGTTGAAGTTATTTGCGCTCGTGGGGAGACCCGCGGTGGGCCTGGTTGTGGCCACGACACTGGACCTGGTCAGACGTCATCGCGATGCGCCCCAGTAGTGCCAGACCTCATCGTGGTGGCCCCCAGCAGCGTCTATTTTCGCAGCGCCTTCGGGTTGCCATCCAGGGCGCCCGAATCGACTTGGCGGAATTTCGCGGTTGCTTGCTGGCGAGAAGGATCTTTCGAGGCGCGTCCCGCCTATCGCTGATGTCGTGCGACAGCAGCGGCTTGCGCGGTTGCGTTGGACCCCCGCGGGCGCTTTTACAGCCACGCGCCAAAGGTTAGTCTAGTCTGGGGTCACTCAGACGTGCAGCCGGCTGGTGTACAAGAGTGCCCTTCTGGTCGGGCACCGCTCACGAACGGCCCCCCGTGCAGAGCACAACGGTCCCCTCGGACTGCGCTCGTCCTTGGGCTCGTCCCGCCAGCAGGCCCTCGACGCGCCAGAGGCCCCGAGCGCGAGCAGGCCGAACGGAGCGAGAGGCCCGCGTGCGGCCGATTACCACCAACGGAGGTTTCCAGGCTCGCTCGCTCGCGCTTGCCCTCGCTCTGCTCTGCCCCGAGCATTTTCTTTCAGTGGAGGGCAAAGGGTGGAATCCGAAATGCCGTTTCGACTGATGCTCGAGGCTCGAATCTGCAGAAGGTGAATCACAAGACGGATTGAATTCCGACCCTGAGCCCTCCACCCTAAGAAAATGCTCACTCTGCCCACCCCGCCCTTCCGCGCCATCCCACCGCCCCCGCCAGGAGGAGCGGGACAACCAGGAGCGGCGCGAGGCTGCGGTATGGCCCACGGGACCCTCAGATCCGAGGGTCGAGGGTCAGAGTGTGAAGTCGGGCACGTCCCTCTACAGGAGGAATATTCAAACATTGCAAAAAATAGTCTGGGGATGATTTTAATTTTTTGTTTGGCAATCTGGGAATAAGTTACGACTATTTTTATTTTTCGTCCAACATCCGCTTGCAGGAGGACACGCCCGACTAATCCAAGTGCGCAGGTCCATGTTTGCGATGTCTCTTGTACCTTTTCGGCCCTCCTGGGACGCCCTAGTCGGAACCTCTTCTCCTTCTTCTTCTTCTTCTTCTTCTTCTTCTTCTTCCTCTTATTCCTCCCATTCCTCTTCTTCCTCCCCTTCTTTCTCCCCCCCACACGATCTGCCCCTCAGGGGGGAGGAGGGCGCCCAGCGCGCTGATCATCTGAACGGCGCGCCCCGGAGCGGCGCCGCGTGCCCCGCGCGGCGCGAGGGGTCCTCGGCGAGGAGGGGCGCTCAAGAAGGGACTTGGGCTTCGCCCTCACTCTCGAGTCGGAACCCTTTGGTCCGCACGGGTGTTCTCGCCAAGACGCACCGAGCGGGCGACCTCTTGAGGAGGACCCCCAGATCTGAGCGTCGTATCGAACATCGTGGCGGCCGCTTGTGCCACGCTCTCGGCCTCTGGAGGCCGCGTCCCCGCCCGAGGGCCATCAAGGAGCGGCTCACGATGCAGAGCTGGCCCAGGCGCAGGGGGGTCGATACCTCCGGGAGTCCACGCTGTGAGACTCAGACACCCTTAGGCCGTGCCTTCTAAAGCCCAAACATTGCTCAACTAATGTTCAAACAAAGCTCGAACAAGGCTCAATCGAAGCTCCAACAAAGACCAAAGCTCCAACAAAGCTCAAACAAAGCTCCACCAAAGATCCAACACAGCTCCGACACAGCTCAACCAAAGCTCGATTCCGCGCGGGCAATCAGGGCGCATTTCGAATGGTGCTTCATGACGGTTCCCTTCTCCTCGCACAGGTACTTGCCCCGCCCCCCCCGTCCCCCAGGCACCCACGGGGGGACTATGAGTGTGTCCTGGGTTGCCAGCGATGATGATGATGATGATGATGATGATGATGATGATGATGATGATGATGATGATGATGATGATGATGATGATGATGATGATGATGATGATGATGATGATGATGATGATGATGCGTGTTCTACCGCTGCTGGCGGAAAACCGGGGGGGGTCACTACCGGTTCGAACCCCCCCCCCTCCGGAAAACCGGGGGGGGTCACTACCGGTTCGAACCCGTCCCCCCCCCCCAGTTCATCATGAAAAGGGGGGGGGGTCACTACCGGTTCGAGACCCCCCCCCCCCTACAACTCGAAAACCAGGGGGGTCACTACCGGTTCGAACCCCCCCCCCCCCCCCCTTCGAAAACCGGGGGGGCGGGTGCGGACAGTGGTGGGGACGGTGGTGGTGGCGACAGTGGTGAGGGAACAGCAGGACAGTGGTGGGGACAGTGGGACAGTGGTGGGGACGGTAGTGGTGGGGACAATTGTGAGGACAATGGTGGGAACAGTGGGGAAAGTGGGACAGTGGTGGGGACAGTGGTGGTGGGGACAGTGGTGTGGGGACAGTGGGAATGTGGTGGGAACAGTAGGACAGTGGAGGGTACAGTGGTGGTGGGGACAGTGGTGAAGGCGGTGGCGAGGACGGCGGTGGGACAATGGGGCAGAGGTATAGTGGGGACAGTGGTGGGGACAGTGGTGGGGACAGTGGTGGGGACAGTGGTGGGAACAGTGGGACAGCTCAGTGGGACAGCGGAGGAGTCAGTGGGACAGTGGGGACAGTGGGGATAGTCGTGGAGAAAGTTGGGAGAGTGGAGCCGTGGTGGGAACAGTGGTGGGGACAGTGGGGACAGTGCGACAGTGGTGGTGGCACTGGTGGGGACAGTAGGGGCGGTGGTGGAACCAGTGGGGACAGTGGTGGTGAGGACAGTGGTGCTGGGAACAACAGTGGGGGATGTGGTGAGGACGGTGGTAGGGACCGGGAGTCGTTTGCTGGCGGTGAGAGGGGGGGGGTGGGGAGGGGTTCGAACCGGTAGTGACCCCCCCCTCCGGTTTTCGAGGGGGGGGGGGTTCGAACCGGTAGTGACCCCCCCCGAGGGGAGGGGGGGAGGGGTTAGGGGAGGGGGGGGAGTTTGCCGGGGGAGGGGGGGGGGGGGGGGGTTCCAGCAGGGGGGGGGATTCGGAGGGGGGGGGGGGGGCCCGGGTTTCCGGAGGAACAGGGCGGCAATTTTCCACAGTAAAGCCGCGGTGGATCACGCTCTCTCTGATGATGATGATGATGATGATGATGATGATGATGATGATGATGATGATGATGATGATGATGATGATGATGTTGATGTGATGCTGATGCTGATGCTGATGCTGATGCTGATGCTGATGCTGATGCTGATGCTGATGCTGATGGTGGAGCTGCTGATGATGATGATGATGATGATGTTGACCGTGAGGACGAT